GGCACAACTCCAAATGGTATTAGTACGTAAGTGATTATAACGAACTTGAGGGGGATTTCTCATTCCGAAACGATATCCATTACAGCATAACGCACATCCCGAATACAGAATGGCCTCAACCCAAAGCTTGAGGCCTAATCTATCCTGCACTTTGGCATCGATACATTTCGAAGTTACTGTTTTGCAGCTCGCCATTTCGCAATAACATTTGCACGTGTTATTAAAGAATAACCGGTTTCAAAAGCAGTTTAGACACATTTTGACAGTTGCACAATGTTGTCAATGAAAACATGGACATATTTTTTAAAATAATTTTTAAGAAATAATTCCCTTGAAAATATAATTCCGAGGTTTACTTGTTTTAACATTGTTTTCCTAATTCTTTTCAATCATTTCACCTCAAGCAATATATTATTATTATCATTATTTTATTTCCTTTGATTTTTCGTGTATACCACATTTCTTTCCGGGTATCGACCATAGACCTAAGATCAGAAATGGCATCATGACATTTTCCACTGCGCATTTTAATAAAACAACACACACACACACACACATATTTTACATAGATAAAGCCCTTCGTAAGATGTGGGGTGTCCTCGAGGGAATTTTTTTGTGTATTTTTTTAAGACATGGACAACCAGAAACCCCTTCAATGAGTTTATTGGAATTGTTTTCCAATCAATCCGAGGGCTCCAACTACAACAGAAATTGTTGATGTTCTCATGTGCCACATTTTTGAGATCTCGATTCCAAGGTTCTTGTATTTTGATACCTTTTTGAAGACCTCCAAAGATACATTGCAGTCTGCCGGGATTACCATATCAATGAGGAGAAACTTTTTTTGTTTGGGGTCTCTATTAACGATATCTAAACGATTAGCATTGACTGATCTGTCTGTGTGTCTTGTGAAGTCCCATAAAATTATTAGAGGTCCTACTTCCGTAACCGGGTCAGGGTCATCATCATTAGTATTATTATTATTATTTCCTTTAATTTCTGTTGCATACACATTTCCTTCCGGGTCCCAACCAGAGACCTAAGGTCAGAAATAGCTTCATGGCATTTTCCACTGAGCATTTTTGTTTAAAAAAAACAAAAACAAAGATAACACACATTACATAGATAAAGCACTTCGTAATGTCTGAGCTGTACTTGTGAGTACAATTGTTTTGTATTTCTTTAAACCTGGGGCAATCGGTAATCCTTTCAATTTGTCTATTAGAATCTTTTCCAATCAAACGGAGGGCTACAACTACAACTGGAATTATTGATGTCCTCATGCGCAACATTTTTAGATTTTCACTTAAAGATCTTTGTATTTTGATAGATTTTGGAGATCTTCAAAGATACATTACAGTCTGCAGGGACTGGCATGTTAATAGAAAAGAACATTTTCTTCTTGTGGTCTTTGATATTATGTCTGGGCCATTAGCTTCGGTTGTTCTATCAATGTTTATTGCAAAGTCCCATAAAATTGTTACAGATCCTATGTTTGTAAGCGAGAGTCTGTGTGGCGTTCATACGAGTTTCTTGCACTTTCGTTTTTCCAGTGCATACTCTATCATGACGTGTTTTATACTCGATGGTTGATCATATCTTGCAACCTGATATAAGATGGTCAATTTTTGCTGGATATTTATCACAGAATCTGCATTTCGGTTAGACACCATTTATCAGTATCTTTGCTTGATAATACCTAATTAGCAAGCATTGGCCCTGTGTAGCAAGACTAAAACCTTCGGTTTCAGTTACGTAATCATTGATGGGTACAGGATTTCTCTCTATCAACTTGTTTGATTCAAGCAGAGTATTGACCATTAAGAGGCTTATGTTGCCACCATTTCTGTATTTGGTCCATTTCGTTTGCTTTATTATTATTATTATTATTATTATTATTATTATTAACTTTCTGTTAATTACTGCCCTTACCAGGATATTACCCGGGGCCTAGGGTTATAAAAAGAAAGGGTTAGAAAATTTGGCATATTGGTGTTATCAAGTAACTGCAGAAAACGTTTTTAGTTCCCAATGGCATTCATGTTGATATGATTGCTACATTGGAACCTCATCGATATCAAAAGTTAGCAGCTGAATTTAGGAGGAGAAGGGAAATCTTGAATAAGACCCAAGATCTAGAAATCTTGTAAATGCCCTCACCAAAGAAAACACTGATTGTGTTCACCACATGGTGATGGGTGACATGCGATTGGCTATAAATCAAACAGTCAATGCTCTCAGTCAATAAGTGATAGCTGAGAATATTCTGTGCAATTTACTCGGCATGACAAAAGTTTCTGCTTAGTTGGGTGCCACGTCTTCTGGCACCTGATCAAAAGCGCACCAGGCTGATCGCATCATAGGAAAATCTGCCATTTTTGAGACAGATCCTGCTGGTTTTTCTTGAATATTTCCTGACTAGGGATGAATGTTGGTTGTATCACTTTGAGCCACTGAAAAAAGAGACAATCCATGCAATGTAAAAACCGCTCCTCACCTGCTTCAAAAAAAAGTCATTTCATCTGCAGGGAAGAAACAATGCGGTTATTAATGAGAAGATTTTAAATTAATGCATGCAAGATTTCACAGCTCTAGCATTATTTCTTCATAGTGACCCTATAAGTTTTAATCCCACCCTCGTAATTCCTGCTGAGCTGCCAATGGAGATTTAGATACACCTTTTCATGGCGCCATTTACAGTCCTTTTGACATGCATTTCGCATAAACCCCGGTATGGGTTACGTTTTCAAACTTCTACCCACACAATATGTACATATGCGAGAGGAAGAGATGAGATTTTCTGTTCAGGGCTTAATCTTGGAATGCTACCAATTGTTGTTTCACACTTCAGGTCACTCTTCGACAGTCCATCGCACGACCTTTTTACACTATCTTCGTCTTTCTTTCAAATTATCCTTTCAACTGGCATAGATTCCTCTTTTCGTAATCTTCCTGCCCTTGAGCTAGTTGTTAATGATTGTGACATATTGCAAGAGTGTTTCTTCAGTGCTGTCAATATAAACGGGTTTGAGGTTATATTATTTCTAATAACACACTCTCCTATCCCAATCAACCCCAGCCTCCTAGCTTTTGGGGTGTGTTCGGACAGATTTCATTAGTTCTAGAATGGACACACCATATTGCACCATCAGATTCCTGGTGTCAATGTTCGTCTTCGTTCTTAGTCTACCCGACGATTATTATCATTCGTAGTAGTAGTAGTAGTAATAGTAGTAGTAGTAGTATTTCCTTTCATTTCAGTTGTATACTCATTTCCGTCTCTTTCGCAATCACAGATCAGAAATGGTATTTTCCATTGCATATATGTGTACAAAAAAAACCCTGCATATTTTGCATAGACAACACCCTTTGTAATGTATGCACTGTGCTTGTCAGAAAAAAAATTTTGTATTTCCTTAAGGCATGAGTTGCCAGGGATACCTTCAGCGAGTCCATCAGAAACTTCTCCAATCAATCATAACTAGAATTATTGATGTCTTCATGTGCCACATATTTTTTTAACTTCCGCTTCAAAATCCTTGTATTCTGATAACTTTTTTGAAATTCTTTGACGATCTTCAAAGTAGCACTATATCTTTTTTCTGGAAATTTTGCAAAATATTGAAAGCGTTACGCCAATAATTTTATTTATTATTATTATTATTATTTATTTATTTCTCCGTTTTAAATCGAGAACATATATTATTTATGAATGATTAAGAGTTGTCTCCCCTTGTTTTGTTTTATCTATCTATCTATCTATCTATCTATCTATCTATCTATCTATCTATCTCTTTGAGAGCTCTATTTCTGTTTACTGGGACTATAAATGAACACTATACTTTATATTTTCAGTTGAATAAAGCTTTCTTAAAGCCTACACCTGCGTACTTTTGTCAATACAATGTATTCATGCCTTTCGTTAAGGGTATAAGTGTGAAGTAAACACTAACTGTCGCAGCCATAATTGTAACTCGATTTATCACTGTTAACATTTAGGAAAACGGACGGGATCCCTGGCAGAAATGAAGAGACTTCGAATTATCGCTTCGAAAAAAATTTCTCTTAATAGCTAAGTTGCAAACTTTCCCATTTTTATCTTACGACAAATGTATATTCATTGGAAGTAGCTTTCCTGTTTAACTGATGATCCAAGATTATCATCTATTAAACCAATTACCTTTCCTCAGCCTATTTTTAGTTTTAAAACTCGAATCTCACAAATATAAGTAAGACTTTGCTCAATAGCCAATTTATTTATGATGTTTTTTTCCCCAATTCATTTGCTTAGATACATGAAAATCACTCGTTATGATTTTCGCTTCTTTTTTCGTCTTTTTTGTGTTTGGCTGTATTTACTGAATTATTTTGGACTACAATGTGCTGTGTTTTATCTAAATTGAACTTCTAAATTGTTAAGCTATATATGGCAGTGAATTGTTCAGCTAAACGGTTCGCGGTGTCGTAATTAAAGAAATTACGTACATCGTGTTTCTTTCCAAATTTGGTAGCATTAATGGATCGTTGCAACAATCAAGTCGACTATTCGAGCGATAAAGTTTTCAGATATTTGCAGCAAGATGTTACAGGATCGAGGCATGTCTATTCATACTTTGGGTTGAGGAAGTTCGATCCTGACTGGGTGTTTCATACCTTGTGCCATATCCAAGCTACGCTTGAAAATCACTATCCTTTGGTCTGGGGTTGAACTTTACTATATCAATAAGTATCGATTAATGACGTCACTTAAATACAAGACACGCTTTTCTTTAGCTAGAAATGTAGAGTTTATAAACAGACGATGAAGCTAGGGAGAAGTTTCTCTTTGACATTGATAACGTTCAAAGTCCTGGTAATGATGTGAAATGATTGGAAATAGTCGAAGAAAGACATTAAAAGGATTTGGTCAGTGTCTTCGTAAATCTAATCCGGATGTGCAACGGTTTATACACAAACTAGAAATAACAATTGATTTTAATGAAGCTTTGCTGGATTAACTAATGCTGCTTAAACATGAGTATCTATCTATCTATCTATCTATCGCATTCAATTCATTATCTCTGGCATTCTGTTCATTATCTATCTATCTATCTATCTATCGCATTCTGTTCACTATTTACATTATTCGGACTATTGTCCTCATCTTTGTCGCCATATTTATTACAACGTTTCGACCGTTATACGCTCCGGCCTTCTTCAGGTGGTTGGAATGTCGAACTGAATCATTTATTTCGCTCACTGGATTAGACTGTTCTAGTTCCACGTGCCATGTTTAATGGATGTCAGTTATCAGTTATCTCCTGTTAATTTCCCTGTCCAAGTTCTCCACTGCCTTAACCGGGTATTGAACTCACACTCTTTGGGTCCTGTCACTGAATCTAACCAACGCCTTTATCCACTGCGCCATGTGTCCTTGAGTAATAAAGATAATTTTAGTCCATCGTACTCACTTCCCCAATGTTTGAATCCGTCTTTATCGGTATGAAAAGTTCTTGGCATGGTTGTTGAAAGCAGACAGAAAATTACTGAAGTGATATGGTATTTGAAGTGATATGGCATTTGAAGTGATATGGCATTTGAAGTGATATCGTATTTGAAAAAAATGCTTGAAGCTTAAACACTAAAAATATAAAAAAAAAATTCATTAAGAAGTAAGAATTACTTATATTAAATGCGATTAAAAGAATGTTTGTGACAGTCATTTTTTTCTTACTGTAAGTACAGTTTAAGTTTTTTCCATAAATATTCATTTACAATAAATTTTCTCTCTCCATTATGGCTACAATATATCGTGTCTAGCATATTACAGTGGATAATTCAGAAAAATGTGGGCAAATCAGCACTTGGGTAAACCGTTCTCCGATAAGAATATAACTAGCCCGAACAGTGGCAAATGATTAAAGACAATTTACAACCATTGTTAGCTTGACAGGGGACAGTTACTAAATTCAAGTGGATGCAAGCAAACGGTTTAAACACAAGTGAAACGCTTCCACTCCCCATTTGAAATTGTCATTGATTACCTTTGAAGCATGACAAATGAATTTGGTTGATGTGTCTAAATGCTTTCAACGCGTGAATATTTTTATTTGTTCTAGATTGTTTTCTCTGATGCTTGGCAATAACAAGAATTACTGAATTTGAAACGCCGACAAGACCTCGTGACTAGACGCCAAACAAAAAAGATACAAATATCCCCAACCCTCTATGGCTTCTATTTAAGATTTTTAAACAATGCATACAATGACAATAAATTGATAAAAGATTGGCGAATCATGTGAGGTAATAAAATGGTTGTTAGATAACAATTTTCTGCCTGTGAACATAATCACGCAAGCCGAACATATATGTGTATATATATAAAAAGATGCGAGACACGAACACTTAATAAGCTTCAATAATTTTCTGTCTGCACTCAACAACCATGCCAAGAACTTTTCATACCGATAAAGATGGATTCAAACATTGGGGAAGTGAATACGATGGACTAAAATTACCTTTATTCGAAGGCGTTGAAGAAATTTTATCCCATCTACCGTCCATGCCAATTCGTGATGATGACATTTTGCTGCTCAGTTATCCCAAATCAGGAACTCACTGGATCTGGGAAATAATTAACATGGTGCTTAACGGGAATACCGAATATATGGAAATGAACAAGTCGCAGTTTTTCCTCGAGTTTTCTAGTCACGACAATTTCGTCTCAAACGAAGCCCGTGTTTTAAACACTCATCTACCCTTGAGAATGCTACCGACTGAGATTCTCGACAAGAAAATTAAAACGGTCTTAATCGCTCGCAACTTGAAGGACGTGGCGGTTTCCCTTTACTGCCATTTAAAAATGCTTGACGAAGAAACTCCTTACGAAGGTACGTTTAGTAGTTTTCTTGATATTTTTTTGGACGGTAACCTCAGCTACGGTAGTTGGTTTAATTATATGTTAGAATGGCAAAACGTTTTCGATAACCACCCGGACTGGCCGGTACATATCGTCTTGTATGAGGATTTGATTGAAGACCCAGCCAGAGAAATCCAGAAATTGGCTAATTTCCTCGGAAAGTACAGCGATAAAGATTTTTGTTCACAAATCGCTGATAAATGCCATATTGATCGACTGAAGAAAGCAAAACCCGAACCCGTGAGGAAAACTAAAGCCGGTTGCAAATTCTTTCGGAAAGGAATCGTCGGGGACTGGAAGAATTTCTTCAACCAGGAAGAAAATGAGAAATTTGAAGAACTTTACAAGAGACAAACTAAGGAGTTAAAACTGAATTTCCGTTTCGAGATATGATCCTTCCCAACTTGCTTATTTTCGAGTTGTAAAAAGAAAATATTTAAATGAAAGTGGAAAGTAATGTATAAACATTTTTCTCAATTCTATTATCAGTATTGATAATTTTTATTAATTTTTTCCTTTTCTTTCTTTTCAATATGTCTATGCAACAATTACTGATTTATTTCATTCTTTGTTTAACGAATTAAAGTTTATTACATATTACATATGTCACCTTCAATTAACGTGTCCTGTTTTATTCATAATAACGGCATTATCATTCTGTTAAAAAAAGAAGCAATTTTCGGACGGCGTAACTGTTCATTGTCCAGTGTATATAATTCTTTGAAACACTTTTTGTTAGCGTGAGAATGTAGCTTTTTCGTGTTTAGTCAGAAGTAGCGGTTTCCTTTTTCTTTTATGTGCTATTTTCTGTGGACAACATTGGCAGTCATGGCACTCCACAACTTCCTATCACGCACTCATATAAATAATTGAATCATTGGATCCTACGATAAATGACATCGAACATTTATCAAGTTTTATTTTTCGAAATTATATCAGAAGTATGAGTTTAAATATGATATTAAAATCGTGTTTCGTCTTTTTTTTTGTGTGTACGCCGTGTATATTCAGTATGTGGTCGGTTATGGCTCTCTACAACTTCCTGTCCATTATAGCGGTTTGCTCTTTGCTATAATTCTCGCTATATGACACCCATTTACACATTATTTGTAGTTCTTAGTAAGGTTTGCGTATTCCATATCTCTCCTAATTCCAATGTCTTGTGAGTATCAATTTCACCAAGCCTTATTACCTCATTATTTGATCCAGAAATGTTGCTTCAAATAACTTTTGAACATTTACCATTCATTTTTGTCCTTGTTTTTTTTTTTTTTCATACATTCTCACCAACAAACTGTTTAGCTTGCCTTCAATCTTCCCCATTATGTGTGTCCGAAATTTCAATTGTTGCCATATCGTTCGTTTCCGTTTTTCTTAAATCTTTCTACTTTCTCACATGTTCGCTCCATGGTATTCTCAGCATTTGTCGGAAGAACAAAATATTTATGCTCCTTCAAGTCTCTTTTTCAGCTGTGCGCAGACGGGAAACTATCGTTAGCAACAAAAAAGGATGAACTTGGATTTAATATCTATGCTCCCATTTGGTAGTGGATTCTTGACAACTTCCTCAAGGATGAAGAAGAGGCAACAGAGATGTGGTTCTACAAATGTCTGCTGAGAATACCATGAACGGAACATGTGTGCAGCTTAGAAGTTTCAAGGAACGTGGAAACAAAACAAATATTGATGATCATAATGAGACAATTGAAACATCTGGGACGTATAATAAGGAAAGAGAGCTTGGAGAATATATCACTCACAGGAAATTGAAATCAAGGCAAAGTGTGTAAGATCGAATAATCTATCTAACGGGCTTGTGTAAATGTATTACAGAGGGGGGGATGATAGTTGGTAATAGTATTTCATTTTGAATGAAGCATCAGCGTGTTCTGTGTCATTTTATGTGGTCAGATGACCTTACAAGTGGCGGCCTTTCGTGACAAATAAAAATACAATTACTGCAAAAATCTACAGAGAAGAAATTGTAGAGAGCCATGTCCGCCCATGGTCTAAAGGGAGACGCTATGTAAAAGAAATATAAATGTAACTTTTCACGTTATATTTCTGATTATATACTTTCCATTTTCGAAAAATAGAATTTGATAAATTTTTTAAAACGTACGTTTTTTGGGTGTTCTTCATTGTCAGATTGAATATTCAATTATTTATATGGGTTTGTGCGACGTATTTAACGATGTGACTTAATTCAAACGTGTCTTCTGTTAGGAATATAAAACACTGAACTCACCTTAACTTGGTTTTCAAACAAGAAAAACGACTGGTTGAACAATGGTTTTGTTCTTCCTTAGTTGCCTATCTTACAAATAACATACCAGATTCGTCGTATGAATTATAACTTCCGTTAAACTGCAAATTCCGAACGCACAAATCTTTCTTGGTTAGAACGTGTTGGTTATCCATTTGTTTTCAGATAACTCGTGGGCAACATTGTAAGCTTGACTTTTTTTGTTGCCCACGCACGTATGATTAGACATTTCGTTACATCCACACACGTTTACATACACATATATTTATTTTTAAACTCCTGATGCATTTTTATCTATCACTAACTCCAAAGAAAAGCGATACCTAAGGTTTAAAAAGAATTTTAAAAAATGAAAAAATCTTTCTCGAAGCTTTTATTTTAGGTTTAATTAAAAGCTAATAGATTAGATTTAATATATCCAATAAACAAAATACCTTGTTGAATTTCAATCGAATTTAAATCGAATGGAATTATTTTTTTATTATTAACAAAACCAGTAAAATCGTCTATATTGACAAATCTGACGGCATAGCATAAATCACTTTATAAAAAATCTTCCAAAAATAAAATATACTTTTCTAAAACTTTATTTGTGGAAGGGTAATTGATTTAAGGGTTAATTAATCAGAATTAAAGCAAATAAATATTACTCATTTTAGCTTAAAATATCGCCGAAAAACATATTTTAAAACGGAGGTGTTGCTCCATCTAATGGTAATCTGAGTTTCGAACTTGAGAATTTGAGAGATATAAATTATAAATAATTAATTCTAATGTTATACACCACAATTATAGAATGAACAAGTTTTAAAGCACAATTTTAAATCAACAACAGGAGATCGCGAATTTCATAATACTTAACGGTCAGTGAGTATCCTTCACTACAAAATTTCGTATAAAACTCTGAGCCGTGCTTTCGACGTAGGATATTATGCATATTCACTAATATATACTTAATAGCTCTGTTATATAACATTGAACACTGTTTTTATAACACCTGAGAAAAGAATATGTACGTGAAACTATATGTGCGTATACATATGTTGTTTTATCATACCCATATCTATCTATCTATCTATCTATCTATCTATCTATCTATCTATCTATCTATTTCTTTTTCTCTCTCTCTCTCTCTCTCTATATATATATATATATATATATATTGATAATATTAGTCCTCAATATATATATATATATATATATATATATATATATATATATATATATATATATATTTCAAGAGGATAAAATCCAGGTAGAACTCTATTTCAAAAACAGGGCAAGAATATAATATAAAATTCTCAGACTATTTTGTAGGTGTGATGAATTGGATCATGATTAAGATTACAATGTAATAAACTACAACTATGAAATATTAGTGTTTTAATCTTATATATATGTGTGTGTGTGTGTTTGTGTTTGTGTGTGTGTGAATAAAGTGCAATAATGGATCGTATGTAATATAAGCGAACAATTCAACTTGGAAAATACAATCTAAATGCAAATTAGAGGTACGTCATAATAGATCATTCCATCTTAAATAAATCAACAATATTTCAACTGTAGATTTCTCCTGTTAAAAAGTTGATTTTTAACACATTCAGCATTATGGATAAAGAATAGTGAATTTAATATCGTTTTTTTTTTCGAAACTTAACATAATCTAAACAAATTTATGGATTTGGATTAAATAAAACCAATTCCCAAATGACTTTAAAATCCGCGAAAATTTTTAATCCTTTAATAATCAGTTGGGCTTAGTTTGATTTGTAACGTGTATAAATATGCGTAGAAAAAGCAAATTTTGATAAGATAATAGGAGTAATAAAGCGCTTCCCGTGGCCCCCAATCAGGCCTACCGCACACTCCTTACAGGCGGTTCTGGCATAGTACGCACCCGCTATATCGAGTCTAGTTTGTCTAGTGAGTATCTTAACGGTCCGGGTTCGATTCTCGGTAGTGGTTACGCACTCCTGATGAATCCCAAACATAGGACGAAATGGCCGTTCAGTGTTTTTTTGCATTCTGTTGAGGATTCTTCTAGACCCAATGAATTACTTAATTATGATTATTCAAATCCCCTTATGATTTATATATATATATATATATATATATATATATATATATATATATATATATAGTTTAATTCCCAGATGAATTCTGTGGACAAGACAGATTAGTATCAAATGACAATTGGGAAAAAACCTTACATTTTGCCGACGCGTTTCATCTTTCGACTTTTTCAATTTCGATTTCATTTTTGCCTTGAAAAAGTCGGAAGACGAAACGCGTCGACAAAATGTAAGATTTTTTTTTCCAATTGTCATTTGATACCATATATTTTATATATATATATATATATATATGTGTGTGTGTATGTATGTATGTATGTATGTATGTGTGTGTGATTTTTTTTTAATCATTTCACCCCAAGCAAGGCGGGAATGCCAGTGGTATGCAGGGGATTACGAAGTGTGAAGTTGAGAGAAAAGACAGAGGAACTGATCAAAGAATAAAAGCTGGTGTTGAAGAAGATAGAAGATGGCGATTGATGTTGTATTTAAATGTTTGAAGATTCCAGTTACCAGGAAAGGAAAAACGGGAGTTCGTCAGGCGGGAAGTGCGAGAAAAGTAGCTGTTAGAGCAGAAGTGGCGGTACCATTTAACTAATCCAGCAATAAAAGGATGAGACCTAGTCGCCCTTCTAGAAGCTCGCTTAAACTCACGTAGTCCGTGTACCAGGTAAAAAAATCTTGAAAGAGTAGTTGCCATGAAAGTATTTGTAGAAAAGACCGAGGGAAGCCGCGTCACGTAGGTCAGGATCGATTACATTGCAGATCCTTCTTTGGATTTTGTCAAGAACCTCGAGATGAGTAGCAGGAGCACCTGACCAGATATGCGAACAGTATGCAATGCACAGACGAATGATAGATTTGTAAATGTGCAAGATGGAAAAAAAAAACATTTCTGGCACAGTGAACCAACTTTCCTTGCAGTAGATGCAGCTATTGATTCGATGTAGTCGTTCCACTTCAAGATAATTGAAAATGTGAGGTAAAGTAACCGTAGTGTGTTGCTCTCCATGTGTCTAGCATAAGACATGCTGATGGCGAGCAGGAGAGTTTCTCTATGGTGGTTAAATGAGAGCAGTTTCGTTTTGAAGGAATTCAGATATACAAGCCATTTCCTGCTCCAGTTAAACACAGATTGGGGGTGCTTTTCAAGAGCAGCGGCCAGGTTAACTTTGTCATCTCTGACGGATTTTCTATTGAGGTAAATGGTAGTGTCACCAGCATAAATGCCTACTTGGGAACTGATGACAACAGGAAGATCATTGATGAAAATCAGAAACACCGTAGGACACAGAATAGAGACTTGTGGGGGGCCTGCGTTCGAGTGAAAGGATATGGAAACGAGCCCGTTCAAAATAATCTTCACGATATGATAGGAAAGGTTGGATTAAATCAAACAATCGTCCAGTACAACCGTAGCCCTGGAGCTTACGTAGAAGACCAGCGTGCCAAACCCTGTCAAACGCGATATCTAGAGCTACAGCTCAAGCTTCGTTATTATCAAGAGCTTGATATACATATCCAGTGATGGCTGTTAGCACATCAGTGGTGGATTTGGCAAAATAGAAGACTTATTGTTTGACAGAGAGTAGTTCGTGAGGGGTATAACTCTTCACCAATTTAGCATTGATTAAAGCTTTGAATACTTTGCCGAAAATCGGTATGAAAAGAGAGATAGGGGGCTAGAGAATGTGGGACTGTGACTTTACATAGTGAGTGGAGTTAACATTTACCGGCCTGAATATCCGCGAAATTTTCATAGAAAATATTCGTCCTTTGACAGGATTCGAACCTGCATACTATACGGAACTGTCATTTAGCTTGACGTGCCTAACCTCCCGGTCACAAAGGATCGTTCGGTTGACAAGGTCGAATTTACTGCTTATAAACTTCAATCTTCCATGAATCTCATACATTCATAACTGCTCATGGCGTATCAAATGTAAACAAATGACGTCATACATTAAGAAATGGACAAAGTCCGACAATTTATTAAAGACATTTTTATGTTTAACATTCTTAATTCGACCTTTGTGGCTGAAGGGTTAGGCACGTCAAGCTAAATGACGCGTTCCGTATAGTATGCAGGTTCGAATCCTGTCAAAGGACGAATATTTTCTATGAAAATTTCTCGGACATTCAGGCCGGTAAATGTTATTTAATACTGTTTATTATAAACAGAGCATTTACTTAAATACTTGTATCTATAAAAAGAACGTTAAAAATAAAAATATCTTTAATAAATTGTCGGACTTTGTCCATTTCTTAATGTAATCAATTTATGTTTATTATACTTTTCTTAATTATATTCGCTTTTTCTGGTTAGTTTCTGTTTCTTTGGTTGTTAAATGGGCAATGGAACTGTCCACTGTTCATGTTTGTTCTTAATATGGTTCCAAGTTTTTGAATGGCCACATTCATTATGAAAAAAAAGGAAAGAAATTAAACATAATTCTAAGTTTGCTTAGTTTAGTTTAGTTTTCATCTTAGAAATTATTTTGAATTTTTAGCGTGGATTCTGAGAATTTAAATAGATTTCCGAACGCGTATTCCAGAATCATAAGGGATTTTATCGATAACTGTTCGTTTTAATTCAATATGTATAACTTCCAAAAATGTTTAATTTTGTGGTTTGTTTTTCTTGAGTATTATCGGGTTATTCCTACGTTTAAAATCAAAATATGGAAATTAATCCATTTACAAGAAGAACTGATTAAAATTGTTTCATCCTGCTTTGCGGGGTGTATAGAAAACACTTTTTTTTTGCGTCAGCTTTATTTAAATATAATATTTACAATTTTATAGAAATACATATTTTTAAAACTTACATGTTTACTGCTGAAAAGATGAAACATATATGTATTTTAATTTCAAGGTAAATTTGAGGTTCTTGATAAAATCCAAATAATGATCTGTAATATAATCGATTCTGACTTGGCATCTCGACTTCAGTCACATTCTCAAAGACGTGGCGTGGCTTCATCTCTGTCTTTTCTACAAATATTTTCATTATCTGTCTATATTTCTGAGATGAGGTATTATGATTACTTGCATTGTTTACTCTATTTGGACTGTTATCCTCATCTTCATTGCTATATTCACAACGTTGCGGCTGGTGTACACACCAGCCTTCTTCAGATGATTGAAATTTCGAACCGAAACCTTTATTTCGTCCACATGGGGCAGATGGTTCTAGTTCCACGTGTCATGCCTCTTCCGGGTGTCTCAGTTATTTCCCATTAACCTCTAAATTTTGGTTCACCACTTCTGTAGCCTGGTGTTGAACTCATAGCACTTGGTTTAGTCATTAGATATAACCAATGACTTTATCCACTGTGCGGTGTTCGAAATTTCAATCAGCTGAAGAAGACCGGAGCGTACAACGGCCGAAATGCTGTAAATATGACTCTGAATTTGAGGATAACAGTTCGAATAATATAAATAATGTAAGTAGATATTTTCATGGCGAATGCTCTGACGAGCTTTTTCTCCTGGTGACCTGACTACATGAATTTAAACATGCTACTCGGCTGGCATCTAGACCCCACCTATTTACTGTTGAAATTGCTAAATGCAACCGTCACTTCTACTCCAGCAGTTTCTTCCTGAGGAACTCGTTTCCGTTTACTTGCTTCTCTGAAAACTACGATCTTCAAAAATTTAAATGCAACGTCAATAGCCATCTTCTATCTTCTTGAATCCCGTTCATTTTTTGTCCTTTCCCGAATCCTTCCTATAATCAGTCTTTTCTCTCATTTTCATTCTATGTAATCGACTACGCATTAGTGACATTCTCGCCTTGCCTGGGGTGAAATGATTTTTTTTAAATATTTTTTTTTTTTTACTTGAGCATTAATATTAGTTCTTTCTTTCTGTCTCAGATTACAGTTAAAACTTCTGAACCATAGCACAACATATTGAATGAAAAGCTCTACCAAGAATGTCATGCAGTTAATCCTTAACTTAAGTAGTACCAAAATAGGCTCTACTATCATGGCGTCGGGTGCCATAAGTTTGAATACATGCTCACCTTTGTGGAAAGAATGATGAACGAAGTTATGTCTGTCTATATTTCCGAGATGAGCTATTGTCAC